GCTGCCATGCTTCTGCTACGGCAACATTGGAGGAAGTGCAGAAACGCAGCATCATCTCCGTAAAAGTGGAAGCACAGGAATTGCAGCGTTGTCACTGCTCTGGCCCGCTGAAGTTTTAGAGGTCTGGAGCTAGCAAGCTGCGAACACTTTAGGGTTTAGCCGCTTCTGCCCTCAACTTGCAAGAAGAAGCAACTGGTGCAGCGCCATCCGACATGCAAGCTTCGGCCAGTAAATATAACAGTGTTCCTTGTCTGCTGACCTGCGTGAGCTGGACTGATCAGCCTCACCTGGGAGCAGCTGTGATGCTTCTGCTACGGCAACATTGGAGGAAGTGCAGACATGCAGCATCATCTCCGTAAAAGTGGAAGCACAGGAATTGCAGCGTTGTCACTGCTCTGGCCTTCTAGGGTCAACATTATTCAGGACTTCTTTGCCCATGACTCCCTTTAGATCTTCTTCGTGTTTGAGCATTGCCAACCACCGCATGTGGGACGTTTCCCGTGCTAAGATGAGACCAGAACGTGTTCGATTTGAAGTTTGCAGGCCTTGGTGGAGGAGAGGAGCACTCTGGCCTTTGCGACCAAGCCCGTCGTTGGCCTCACTCTCAAACCATGCCAAAGTTATACACATGTGCATTTGTGCAAAGAGAGCGGGGATAGATATCTGACCAGCGATCCCTGACGGCAGCCACTCCTTCATTCGGTTCTTGATGTTCGCGCATGGCTCGACTCACGTGTTCATATGATACTTGTCTGTGAGCATCCTCGAAGACCCGCAGCCCTTTCCGTTGTGTTGCATCGGCTTCTGTGATTCGGCTGCATCTATCGTAATTGGCAGCGCATCCTCTTAAACAGTGGTTCATGAAAAAGACACCCGTCATGCGTTGCTTGACGGGCAGCACAGATGTTCCCGGAGCTGTTCTTCCACGTTTGCCTTGTGCCAGTCCTCTCCCGGTAACGCAGTCTGGGTTTTGAACAGTCTCGAGCTGCAGTATACTTCAATCATCTCGTTGCTTTGTGGAGCCCGCTGTACCGAGGCACTGTGGCACAGCTGTTGGAGAACAACCGACATGAGCTGTCCAACCTGGAGATGAAGTGCCTGGCTGCATTCAGGTCTTAGAAGCCAGTTGCAACAAGACGATGTCATAGCACTGTTTGGCATGCCTGTGAGCTGCCATGGTGTTGGCTTAGGTGCGGGCTCTTAGACGTGGCGGAGGCAATGCAGTTTCTTCACCAGGCCTGTGATCTCATTGCGAGTCTGGGCCGGTAGCTGCTGCACTGAAGTACTGGGCAGGATGCCAAGACGGCACATCTTGGCTTCTCGCCTTACAGCATCTTCATAGACCCACAGGCTCTTAAGGGTGCTCGTCTTTTGAAGCTGTCCGGGCAAGTGGCCGTGGCCTTCGCAGGGCAAGTGGTTGCTGGGCAGCCTTGGCTTTTCCTTCAGCGGAGTGCGCGACCCGGAGCTGAAGCGGCGCACCTCATTGGCAGGGTGGAGAGCGGCCACGGCCATGTGCAGGCTCAAGCAACAGATTTTGTCACAGCTTCGCCTGCATGCTCCCGTTCGAAGAGCTGCCGGCATCGCCCAGCCACAAGCCGGCCTTCCTCAAAGCTATACTGCGAAAGCTCCAACAACGAAAGAACCGTCGGATCAAGACTCGCGAGACTTGGGCTGTGCTACACAACCAAAGCTGACATTGTGGACTCGGTGAGATGGCTTGCCTCTGGCATTCTCACAAGCGAGTATGTGCCGGCGCAGTGAATCTTGAAGCTTAAAGCCAACAGGGCATTCATGGCTCTGGAAACCAAGGCAGCCAAGCCTCATGGGGCTTAGGTGCTGAGAAGGAGCTGCAATGTAGATGCAACGTTCTAGCCATGAGCATGCCTTCCGGGATGATCCAGACTACAAACCAGAGAACATCAGGGAACTCCCACAAACAAAAACTGAAGTTGACAGAAAGCCTCGTGTGTCCTTCCGGCACTAGGCAGCTGGCCAGGAAAGGTCTGCGTGGGTCTGTAGCAGATGGGTTGCCCACAGGGTTCTTGCAGAAAAACGCGGCTGCCTGCGATGTGAGAGAAGCGGTCTTCAACTCTTCTGTCTTCAAAGGTGCAGTGGGGGCAGCTGATGGACTGCCCGTTCACTTTCTCGGGACAGGAGGTGCGAGAGAAAGACTTGGCGCTCTACATAGCAGCCGCCTGCCATTTCTCAGGCGCCGGGAACTTTATCCTTTGAGCCGCCTCCTAGGCAAGATTCGAGTCAGAACAGCAAGGGTTGCACAGTGACAGTGCACAGGTATGCTGCGCCAGAGATGTGCGCGTTTCCTGGGAAATGTGGGTGCAAGCCTTGAGATCATTGAGATCCCTGCTTTTCTTCCTGCCTCCGCCTCCTGTCAGCTTCAGGTTGGAGTCAGACATGTTTGCCATGGGTCTGCTTACGTGCCCCTGCCATGCGAGTGTGTGGAGGTGTTTTGTGAGTTGGAGGCATGGCTGCCGGCTGACGCAATGCTTGGCTTTTTGGCTCAGTCCGATCGGTTTTCCCTCCCAGCGAAGGAGCTGGCATCATGGGCAGCGGCGTGGCATGATGAGGGCATTTTTTGAGTTCTGGCAGGGCTTCAGAAACTCTTGTGGCAGAGTGTAAAGTCGACCGGAGACTTCGAAGCCCCGATAAGGGATCCTTCGACACTTTCCGCTTCCCCGATTGACTATGCCCTGCACCCAGCCACCGAGGTGATGGCGCAAAGAAAGGAGAGCTGGGGGTTGCTTTCGGCATTTTGCGGGATGGACCTAGCCCTGCGTGGACGTTCCGCGCTCGACAGGAAAGCGGCCACCGGAGAAAGGCCGGATCGTGTAAATCAACAGCTTCCTCATTGAATTCTTTGATTTTCTGTTCAGGAGACGAAGGGAATTCCAGCGAGGCGTTGGCTTGTGGTTTTGGGCTTGCAGGCAGCAAGTCCATGCACATCGAGAGGCCGAAACACCCGTTGGCTTGCTTGCAAGACTCAGACCGAGGAGGCAAGTTCCAGTTCTGCGTGGTCCGATTGCGGCTACTGTTGTGGCTGTTGCTATCGTTGCCCATTATCTTCTCCTCTTTTCGGAAGTGTTCCTGCTGCTGTTGCTGTCTGCTTTGTTTGTCAGTGTAGTTTCATTTTTGCGTTCACATGTGAAAGTATTGTCACAGGCCCTGTATTAATGTACTGGAAGCCAACTTTGCTTCCAGTATCACCGTTGTTGCTGACACTACGTTTCTTTTGCGTGTCGTGTCATTGTCAGGTACCTTGTTGGAATGGCCAGTTCTGCTGTTGGACATTAATAGGTTTGTTCTTTTGACAAGCTAGCATTTGATTCATCTTGCTAGGTCGGAGTTGTTGTTTGAGCGTTTCTTTGTTTGCTTGCTTGCATGTGTCTGCATGCGGCTTGCCACAACGCAGCCATCCAGCGGTGCGTTGAGTCTGGAGCTGAAGACTCGGGTAGCTTGGCAGACAAGCGCAACATCATCTAGGGCCCCTCTTTCCAACAACCTCGTTGCCATTCGCCCATGGACCGTGAACTCCTGGTGGGACGTGAGCACCTCGACTACAACATGCTATCGCTACCGGTTGGTAGTGTATGTTGTAGATGTTCAGAAGCTAGTAAAGAGTAAAGAGTGCTTAGGTCCGCCGTTTTGGTGAAGATGACTCTGGAGGAGCATGTTTGAATGTCAACAGTTGAAGCTGCTCGACAGACGATGCCATGAGGAGTTCGCATGACCATCAAGACAGCGATGCCCTTCAGCTCTCCGACTTCCTTCGTTCTTGACTGCTCGAATGAGTCGAGCAACAGCTTAGATCCAGGCACTGCAGAAGACCCTTTTGATCACTGTGACTTGGCACGAAGATTTGAGTCGGTGCCTGGCGGTCCCGACAGATTGCATGCGAATCCGGGACCTCTTCGTGGGCAAGGAGGTTCTTGGAGCCGAGTTGCTTGCCTCGAGACATGCTTGATCGTGACAGATATCAGCCTTTCGCACTCCAGCCCGTGATGTTTTCAAAGCTAAGTATTGCGGGCGACTGCGCGATCCCGTATGAGACCGAGAATCCCTTCAAGCGCGTGAAGCGGGTGGGAAGTCCTGACCGTTCGGCTTGCGATGGCAAAGTCTGCAACATGCATACTCGGCAGGTCGTATACGTTCATGATTCACGAGACGGCCTGTGCGACTCCAAGTCAAAGTCACGAGCGTCAACACTGTTCAACATTAGGTAATTGTGTGTGTGTGTGTTTGCCTGTGTGTGTGCGCGCACGATGTGGTGGTAAAGTTCAATCCCTGGATGAGGTGGTATCACTGCTGCGAGTATCGTCCGCCTTATGGATCATTCTCTCATCGCACACCTCCGCCAAAGCTGGAAGCCGAAGACATTTCTCTTGGTAGTATGGCTATGAAGTTTGCCTCCGGCTTGTTTAGCAGAAAGGCCCGGTGTGAAGAAATGGAGCATGCGAAATGTAGGTTAGGCTAGGTCCAATATGTTCCATTAAGAGTGACACGTCGTTCCCCTGAGAAAAGCAAGACCGAGCCGGACAAGCTTCCAGTTGGTCAAGCTCCCGAAGCGGAGGGTGACTTCATGGAGAACCCGTCGAGGGCCGAGCTTTTCGAGCACATGAATGACCACAAAGAAACTCTTCTTCCTTGACATTAGAAGCTGCTAGAAAATGGTAATGTCAGGTTTGCAGAAGAGGAATGGTCGAAGGTTCGCATGCAGAAGGATGTGCTGGGGGAGGAACAAACGACTGTCTGCATCTGCAACCAGTGTGGTGACTAAATCGTAGCGGAGGGTGATCATGGAATGACTGCCTCGAGCCAACTGCGTCGTCCAATGCTCGCCTGCTCGCTTGAGGCCTCCGTCCTCAGTCTCGTCGTCGATGCATGGTTTTCTCTTTGCCAGCTTTCCGAGGCCAGGGCCACTTCTGCAGTGCAACGTCTATGAAAACCTGAAGCTCGTGCAGAACAAGGCGCATGTCTTGGCAGAAACCACTATCACCCGAGTCGGAGAGGGGACGGTCCTGTCCATACCCGTCAGACTCTCGGCACGCGAGAAAGCCTGGGGGACCTGTCGCCAGACTTATTTGAGGATGTCAAGTCAGTCAGCGTGTCGTGCGAGCCTTCTTGTGCACGTTTTTTTAGCACATCCGAGGCCGACGAGATGCTTGGGGGATGAAGCGGTGTTGATTCGTCGCTTCACGGGCGGCACCAAACGGAAGGACCGCAAACTTGCGACCTTGTGGCTTCTGTGAGCCAGTCCGCTTCGTTTACACACGTGAGGAGCCACCGAGCCTCGACACCTACACGCTTCCCAAAGACATGGAGTGTGTCCACGCCTCGGCACCCCTGATGAGGCAAGAGTCCAGCAGATGCTCCCATGCAAGGTTGACATTGGTCCGAAAGGAACCCCAACTGTCATCGGGAAGGACATCTCTTGCTTCTTCAGTTGCATGTCCTGATAAATGCCAGTATTGCTGTAAGCGTGTAGTTGGTCTCCTAGACTTTGCACATGACCGAAGAACTACGCCGTGTTCATGCTGCGAGCCCCGTTGCTTGGGCCTCAGCCCGTTTGCCCATTCCACGCATCGCATACCCTGTCTGCTGTCATAGTCAGTGCTGCTGTTGGCCAGGGTTGCAAGTCTCAGAAAAGCTTGCGTGCTGTCCTGCCCGCATCGCGATCTGACAGCAGATTGAGGCTCATGCCATGTCCGATGACGTGCAGGCAAGGGACTGAAGCAGTGCAGGTTTTTGTGCAGGGCTTTGCAGCCTGGCGATCGTGATAACATTTGTCGGCAAGGCATGCGACAGGTCGGCAGCCTGGTTTTGTTTCCCATTGCAGTGATTCTACCACCTCGCGGTTTCGACTTTCGACCCAAGGACGTCCCAGCGGACGTGACGCAAGATCCGGGCGGCAGTTCTTGTAGAGTCCACACGTCCAGAGCTGCACCGAGCCGAGCAAGCCGATCATCTGAGACTGAGACTGTTTCACCTCCTCACGCGCCAGAACGGGACCCAGAGGAGCTGACGCGGACCTAAACCCTCGAGACGAAGCCAGAGCGCCACGCCGGGCAGAGCGCCCAGCAGAGCCAAAGAGCCCTGCTGGGGACCGCTTGGAGCTGAGCGATGTCGCTGGCCCTCGCTCTTTCCAGCGCAGTTCTTCGCCGAGAGAAAACTGGATTCAGACTCCGTGCATTTCCAGTGAGTGGCGAGAAGAAGTCTTGTGCGCCGCACTTTGCAGCACCAGGCGAGTCGTCTTCTTCATCGCTTTTATAGGCTTCTGCCAGCGGCCAAGATAGCCAGAACAAGGCAGCGCCTCCGAAACTCGAGTGGGGCCCGGGCAGCCCTTTCTTGGACTTCCCTGCCTTCTTTTTGACCTCGGCCTCGGCCTCGGCTTGTAAGTCCACTCGTGCCTGTCCGAGGCTGTTGGATCATGGCTTTCTATGATCCATGCCAGGCCGGCTTGCGAATCTTCGCTACAGTATGCTCTTTGAGAGTCGTGGGTCTTCTTCTATTGCGGAGCTCACAAAGCAGTTTTGGTGCCAAGAGGTAGAAGAAAAAGCCAGAAAAGATTGCGGGTTTTCTGGGATTAGTCCCTCATAGCGGCGGCCTTGGGCACAAATGCGTGGTGATCTGCTCCCGCAACGGTCCACAGTTTTTCTTATCTCGCTCTTCAAACTTGATACCGTGCTCGAGCCTGAACCACCCGAGCCGAGTTGCATGACCGGATCGTGCTTTACAAGTCGCCCGGCGCTTGTTTTGCAATCGAAATTCTGTGGCACGACGCCGGTGCTAGAAGTTTCTCAGGTGGTGGCAAGCTAGCCCGGGGCACAGAGCTGTCTGCTGAGCACTAGTTTGTCAAGCGAGGTTGCAATTGGACTGTCAGCCATGTCCAGGAAAAGAAGACCATCAAAGTCAGTCGGAAGAAGGGCGCCAAACTGGGCGTGGAGATCACTCCCGACACTGGCAAGGTCAGAAGCTGAAACACATGCCCAATTTTGCTGGTCATGTTAGCCTAATTGCGAGCAACAGCCCACATGAACCCTTCAGGGAGATCTAGTCCTCGTGCAGTCCATCTCGGACGGTGCAGTGCCGGATGCTTTCTGGAATCTCGACAACCTTTTGCCCCCCATACATCTGCGGCAGCTGGCAGGTCAGAGCATAACTCCAATCTGCCGGCAGACTCATCTGAACGAGTGATGGTCGGCGACGCTATTGCCAAGGTTCGCCAAGCGCACGAGCCGGGCCCACACGGTGAGTAGGACAGAGACGCGATGATAGGTCGATGGCAGCGCCAAGGGTCTGACGGATGCCGCGGCCCCACTGGCAATGCCGACTGGGGCTTCACCATCTTCCGTATCGGCCAGGCACTTTCTCGTACTAGCGAGAAGACCGTTGAAATTGAGATTCGGAGATCTTCCCTGCAACGACCTTGGTACTGCAATCCAACTCTTGGCCTGTGCAATGGTTGCTTGATGAGGCCCAGCTTTCTGAAATGGATGAGGAGCTCGGCCAAGCCAGACTCCGAACCGTTTTTGCTTGTGGACCTCTCAGCAGACGTTTGGCGCTGAGACCCGGTCCTGTCGAGACCGTTCTGACGGCTCCCGGCTTCAAGCGCACTCCCCTCGGTGCGGGTGTGGAGTCCCAGAGTCCCAAGCTCGTTTAGTGCGAGGCTGGTCGAAGCTGACCTCGCAGCTGGGTACTGTAGGCAGGATCCCTTTTGTCCGCACCTCTCTTGCGAATGCAGTCCGCAGGTTTGGCCAGCTGGCTACTGTCTGGCTATGGGCCAGCATCTCTGCCTGTGCTGCTTGGCCACGTCTTGATGCCGTCCCAGCGTAATCTGCTGGCTGACCTTCTTTGCCAGCGGCCAGGTGGTATTTTGGCTTCTCTGCCGCCGTGGGGTTCAAACTCGTCAGGCCTGTTGTCAGACCTCATCCTCCGACGGGCTTTCCTTGTCTCTTTTGGTAGCACTTGAAGGTGTTGTCATGACGAGCACGTTCAAGCAAAAGTGCCTCACTGCTACAGACCAGCCTGCAGCTTGAGCCGGCGTTGCAATGTGTGAGAACATCTGCATGGGTTTGCGGGTGTGATGTGGTGCAGCCGAGGTAGAAGATGAGCTGCCTGAAGTCCTCCAGAAGGACTGCTAGCCACTGTTACTCAAGCCGTCGGCCCCTCATGTCAGTCAGTCAAACACCACCTCGGGGAGGCTAGAGACGCGAGTGTTTCCTTCGCTCAAAAGCTTGCGAGCCAGTGGAGGCCGGGAGTGTGTTGAGATCGCGCTTCCTTGATTTGTCGAACGGGTTCGAAGTCCTGCTCATGCTGGGATTTCAACCTCGCCTGGGTCCTTTGGTGTTTTGTAGGTTTTGGATATCCAAAGCAGGACATGAACCTCCCCGCCACGTGTAAGTCACTTCTCTAAACTTTGCTGACGCACGAATCCCCAATTCCTTCGCAGAGGTACGTGGTAGATTTCACTGTCATGTCTGTTTCGAATGATGTACATGGCGAACTTGCACAATGCTGGAGGTCTCTTGCCGAAGAGGTCATGGCTTCGTACACGGGTGCGACTGACAAGAAGAAGGACAAAAAGAAACGAAAAAAAGACAAGTCGGAGATCTGAGATGGAGCTGAGGCAGGGGATGCACGAGATTTCCAGTTTTCGAAAAACTTGTTCGCCTGACCTGCGGCAGGCCAACGCCAAAGCCTTCGCACTATTGGTGTTTCAGCTCCAGTGTTAGTGACTTGATCAATGCCTTCGGGCACGATCATATTATGCAGCTTTGGATGCCAATGAGATGGCACGTAGAATTCGGGACGAAGGTAAGAACGTCAGCTGTTCTTTGATGACATTTTGCATCCAAAGCTTCTGGAGTCCGGGGTTTGCGGCCCTTGGCAGTCCCAGAGTGGACTCGCATGCATCAAAATGGTTGTCATCACAGGACGCTGGTAGTCGTATCAACGTGGCATGCCTGCAAGTCGTCTCCATGAGCAGGTACGAGTTGATGTGTGTCGATCGGCAGCCATTGTTGAGATCTGCTCCACGAGGCACAAAGCGGGCGTTCGAGAGAGCCGCGGCGGACCTGTGAGAGCCGGCCTTTTCAGGTTTCAACACGAGCGTCCTTCGACAACAAGCAGTTCCTCCCGAGCTGTATCCCATCCTCCTGAAGCTTCTGAGCCGTCGCCTCAGGGCCACGGCAAGGCCTCAGAAGGATGTTCAGGTTCAGGTCAAAACCGCACTTTCAAGGTCCCAACCCGTCTGAAAGACTCACGATTGCAGCCTTGCGCTCGGAGACTCTGAAGGTTGAAGAGGTGAGCGTTTTGCCATTTCGAGGCCTTCATCAACTCTGAGTTTTTCATGGACGTCAACGTGCTCATCCCAGGGCTTCTGCTCGTTTGCAGACTATGTGGTCTGATGCATGTCTGCATTCTGCAGCCTTTCCGAGTGGAAGGTTCGAGCCATTCGTTTTCTGGAACAGCTCAACGAAAAGGACGAGGCCCTGGCCCTGGGAATGGCATCAGTGGATCTTCACGTCAACATCATGACAAGAGAAACAGGGATTTCAGATGTTATGCCGAGAGTTTGTGCTACCTCTGACAGGCACAGCGTGTGACTTTTCTTCGCGGACTGCCAAAGCTTTTGCAGGATGGCTTTGGGGAGAACAGGCAACAGTCTTTAGTCTTGCTGGTGCGAGACTGCTGGTATCACGGAAAGTCTAGGAAGTACGTGTCGTAGAATAGTTGGTGACATGGACAAACATTATTTTTCTATCAGTCTTGCGGTCATGAGGGGTAAGTACGGCCGGATCATGATGAAAACAATTTGGTGCGCGGCACCTGTAGTATCCGCAGGGTTAAGGTTACAGGTATGGAAGGAAGGTTTAGCGAGTGTGAAAATTGTGGGTTCCGTCAGTAACACGGGCGATCTTGGCAGTCCAAGTCTCATACATAGTGCTGCTAAGGATGCTCACAGTTTTGTTTTGCCAACAGCACGGAAAAGATGACTTGTCTGGTTTGGGGTTGGAGGTGTTTAGGGTTTAGGGTTTAGGGTTGGCTTTACGTTGAGCTTAGAGTTAAGGCTTTAGGGTTTCGGGTGGTGGCGACAATGATGATGCTGTTGATGACGATGTGGACAAGGTTCAATGGCTGGTGTTGATGATGATGAAAGCGCACAAAGACGATCGTTTTTCCTGTCAACTTATTGACACAGATTGAGGCGTATTCCTGCCTCTCCCCAACGTCAACACCTGCTAAACCCACCAGCCATTTTGCACGTTGCGCACAGCAAGGATCTTTGCAAGGCCAGTGGTCCTGAATGCCTTACCCACTACACATGCCATTCCGGTTCTTCTGTCTTTATTGACAGTTTAATTCTGCACATGCCATCGTGACTGCTATTACCTGTATCATCTTCTTTGGCGTCTCTCCGTTGGTGCTAAAGGGACTCGACTCATCGGGCAGAGGCTTAGATGGTTTTGGAGCTGTGGACATGTTTCATTTTGTGAGGTAACGGAGGTTTGTGATGAAGGAGTAGTCACGTCTCAACAGGTGTCGCATACGGCTTTTTCAATACAGCTTTCTCCCCCTACCAATGCATTGCGCCACCGCAGCATCGAGAGGAGCCATGTCGCTGTGACTGGTGCGTCTTTTCAATCTATTTGTCTCGAGACTGCACACTGCACCAGGGCTAGAGACGGACGGAGCAGGATTTCATGTTGTGCACGTCTCACAAATTTCGCCACACCACGCTGAGGGTGCTGGAGGGAGCTTATCCTTGTGATTCGCGCAAGTTTCGATTGGGGGGAAGAGATTATCTAGCACAAGACACCAACACCACAAATATCAACATGAAGCCGATCCATATCCGAAAAAGACAGTCTGGCACGGGTTCTGACAAGAGGACGGATAGAACAGACATTAGTTAGTTGCACGAAATGTATGCATCAGATGGTTAACAGGACAGAATACAATTTCACATAATTTCCATAATCTTTGTACTGACAGACGATGTTCATCTTGCTACATGGCACATAAACGATGGTACTGTTTTTGAATCAAAGCAATGTCACAGGTCCTTATTTTCAAGCATACCATTAAGATATGTATCATACGTATGTAGAGAGAGTTCCCACACACACGAAACCCCTTTGGTCCTTCAACCAGGACACAAAGAGCCCCCTTTGCAGTCAGCGCGTCATGCGTGAGCGAGCCTGGAGCTCAAAGTAACCGGCCCATGGTTCGGTTTTTGGTCATGGCAGGCTGTCGAGAACCTCATCGTAAGAAGTGTCAAGTTTACTGCTGTAATACTGTTCCGAGGATGCTGTCTCGCTGTGTGGCACTGTAGCAGCGCCCCAGGTTCCCAATTCCTGAGTGATTCCGCATGCAAGGTGCTGCCCAGACTTTGTGGCCAGATGCTAAGCTGGAAGCCTCCAGTTGGTAGCAGAAATAGTGTTTCAAGTACCTCATGGCTTAGAGGCTCTGTCTTGCGGAACAGTGCCAGTAGCTGACAATCATAGGCATTAGTCAGAGCAGACACCATGCCTGATGTGACGATCTGACTCATGGCTGTGCTGCACCCTCCGTGAGCTTTCGAATTTGGAAAGGTGTAGGCATGGCAAGCATGCAAGACATGTCGTTTTGCCCCTGCCGCGATCATGACCGGTGGGTAAACAAAGTGTCTTAGGCCCTGTGACAAGAATCAGCAGCCTACTAAGGAAGACCTTGCATAACTGACACACGAAAGGATAGGGAGCACCGTCCGTGATCATTTTATCCAGAGATATCTTGAGCGAATGAATGAAGGAGCCAGGGTCTCAGTTCCTGCCTCTCGTGTTTGACCCCCAAAGCGAGCAATGCTGAAATGCTTTCAGCCAAAGGCATGGAGGTCATGAGAAGGAGGATGATAAAGCTAGGCCAGGAACCCAGGAACCCAGGGCCTCAGACTCTGCGCAGAAGGAGAAAGCGCTGCTCTGGCCCCACTCAGGAAGCAGGGCGAAAGGCTGTTCAAGCAAGGTCAACTGCAGATTCAGAAAGCGAAGGCTCGACGCTGAAATGCCCACACGTGGTCTCAGTCTGAGAGGGCTTTGGAAGTGCTTGGTCCCGGAGGCTGCATTCGGCGACCAGGCAGGAGTTGAAACTGGGCAGTGGGGGTTGCCGTCAAAGAGCTGACCGGTAAACCAATCCAAAATAAAGTTGAACACCATGCCGCACTAAACTGTCGTGCAAGCCTGGCATGTCCTATGCCACGGATAGCTTGCAGGTCTAAGACCTTCCAGCGGCCGTGACGGCCTGGCATTTCAACGACCACTGGTTTCGTAACTTGCGTTTGTCATAATTGGTACCAAAACGAAGGATCACACAACCCAAGGGGTAATGGCATCGCCTAAATTTGCCTCCGCCGTTGTTGAGCAACTGCAACGCCGCTCTTCGCTTTGACGTTCTGCCTGTTCTGCCACCGAAGGCCTAAGGCCTCTGCTGATTTGGGGCTCGGGGCCTTGAACCCTCGCATGCTCAGCTCATGGAAGCTCTTGGGTTTCTAAGGAAGGATTGCGAAGCGCCACACCTTTGGTGGCCTTTGCTGTGCTAGCGAGTGTGCCAGCGGCTCCGCTTGCTTACACACACCAGCAGGATGTCAAGATGCACAGGCTGAGGCTTCACCACTACGTGGTTGCAATGTTTTTTTCGGTGAGGGTTTGCCAACCGTCGTTTTTGTAGGGTTTGGCTTGTAAACATGACCGAAAGCCATCATTTCTTCTGCACAGGCATCGTCTGTCGCTTTGTCATTTGTTATGCTTTAGGCACGATCTTGCTTTGCACGTCTTAGAACATGTCAAACCCTCTTGATGGCTTTGGGTGATCGACTGTCTTTCCGTAGCAGTTTCGGTACGGTTTCGCTTCGTGAAGAAAAGAATCAACAGTGTCGAGGGTGTCGTGTGTCGTGTGTAGTTTCATACTGGTTTAGGCATGTTCTGTTTCGCGAACTCCAAAAACGCTTGCAACACCCTGCAGCAGTCTCAGAGCCTCTCCGAAGTTCGTCGCCAAGCGGCTGGCCCGCGATCAACCTGTTTTTGGTTGGACATTCCTAGGCATCGCTGAGCTTTTTGTCGCTGGTCAGACGATTGGGCAGTTTCCTTTTCCGTGCCTCGTGGCTCGTCAGCCATCATGCTCTGTAGAGCTCCACCGGAATTGCTGGATGCTCCGGCAAGCCAGAAATAAGACAAACACACGCACCCAGCGGAACGCACCCCTTTCTCAGGTTGCTTGCAGGGCTCTTTTCTTGTGGTTGTCCTGCGTTCTGTTTTGCTCACGCCGCTGCTTTTTCCTGACGGTTGCCGAATGTGCTTCGTTTTAGGATTTCGCTGACTCAAATTCCGTTTAGGTGCTTCGGGGATTCCCGTGCAAGAGCCCCGACAACTTTTCAGGAGGGTTTCAGCACAGAGCCCCCGCCGAACTTTTCATCTTGTGCTGGCATCCCACCTGGGCTTCGGGGCACAAGATTATATGTCTTGCTTGGTGCTGCTTCTGTCTAGCTTTTGACAAGTTCAAATTCTGCTAAATTGGCTCGTATCTTCTGCGAGCTTGTCTGGGCTCCGTGTCTGCCAGGCGGTAGTCGAGTACGATGCTGCTATCAGGCTGTTCGGCGAGGTTGGCGTTTACCAGCCTCTAACTGTGATTTGCGGTGGAGTACGAGTAGGCCGGGCATGGCATGGAAGATCGTGGAAGAGCATGGAATTGGAGGCGATCTCGCTGCGCCCCGATGCTGTGGCATACCGCCAGGTTGGTACTTCTGGAACTGCATGCGTTTAGCCCCGCATGTGTAGAAGCGGGGCAGCTGACGCTTGAGGCTCGTGGTCGCTGCTACATCGCCGTACAGCAGTGCCCAACCTGAAGTTTTCACGACCGGAAGCATAGGGACTGTAGCCTTTGCTGCACTAGTCGTTCTTTGAGCCTCTCACAGCATGTCGGAGTCGTATGTCTTGTATGTGCTGGCAAGACGCCAGCGACCCTCCCAACTGTTCATGACTGCTGCAGCAAGATGCACGCTTGGGACACGGTACCTGATTTTTCACGCATGTGCACCATTTCTGAAGTCTGGAAGACCCTTCGAGGTACAAACTGGCACATTCGGACTTCGTGGTATGCTGCAAGCTGGAACCAGGCGAGTTCTTCTTGAAGTCCTCGCTGGAGGTTTTTTCTGCCTTTGAAACCCGAGGCCAGGCTCGACACTTTGCTCATCGAGGGCAGTGCTCCAGACGCCTCGGGGATGTGAACGTCGGGACCCAAGGGTGTCGGTTTTACCGATGCGGTTAGGCGGCGTCTGTTTCCGAGGGTGCGCTCAAAGACTACGACGACGCAATTCGTGTGCTCCCCGGGTGAGAATGAATCCTAGCCTTCGTTTATCTTCGTTTCTTCGAGTTCCATATTTGCTCAAAAGCGTGCTTTCCATCGCTTCAGTCGTCGAAACAGGTTTCCGTGTTAGTCTTTCTTGGTATCCCGGTCATTGCGTGTGCAGGTGTCCGGCTACTGCGTCTCGGTGTCCCATGGCATTTTCCCGCTTGGCTGCATCTCCATGTCCTGGAGTCGTGTGTCTTGGTGTCTCGTCCAGTGTCCCAATGTCCGTCTGAGTGCCGGGGTCTTGATGTGCCAGTGTCTCGACCCGTCGTGCATCCCGGAATCACGGTTATGCGTGTCTCCGGAGTCTCCTCTGAGTCGGTGTCTTGACATCGGGATGTTCGACGTTCAGTGCATGTTCCTGTGTTGCGACCTCCCGGCGCTCCGTCATGGTGGTCCGGGATCTCGAATGCTTCGTCCGGTTGCGTCATGGTGTTTCGATGTCCCATTGTTCTGGTGTCTTCGTCTCCAGATGTCCCGTATGTGTCCGGTGTTTAGTTGATTTCAGAGGCCCGAGGGGAGGTGTGAGATCGCCTGAGATCTGTGACGTGGAGAATGTACATAACTACATAGTCATAACCATGTTCCACAATGTCCTCAAGAGCCCTGCTGGCACGAGATTACAGGGGGTGGCTTCCCAGACAGCGGGGTCAGCAGATATTGGAGTCATGAAGCCGAGCTTCAGGTAAAGCGGAGAGAGACCTGTCTGAGAACCACCAGCGGCAGGCAAGTGGCAAAGTTTCATGGTGCCAATGTTCTTGACAAGTTTTGTTGCCTTTACCGGTGGCCGCAGGCTGCTGAGTACTACTTCGAGCGGGCGTCCGGACCCCAGTGATGGGTCTTGACCTTGCTTGTCGGCGCCCAAACCTACCTCCACTTCCTTCGATCGTGTGCTGCATGACTGGGTCATGCAGCTGCCTTGTTTTCTGTTGAGTTGGGTCTGCTGTGATCTTGGTCTTGGCATCCGTACATGCTGAGGCTGGTGCACATTGATTTGGAGCTTTACGACAAGGCGATTGAAGGTCTCACTCAGGCTCTACCGCAGTGTTGAATGGTAGACTTAGACTACGGTCGGTTCGGGTCCTGTGTACTGCCGCCAGGCCCTCGACAAGCGCCTGCCTGCTCCGTACAAGGCCCGCTTTCGTGAACAGATTGGTGGCACAAGATCTTGTGAAAGCAGGCTTTCTTTCATCGTGGAATCTGCTATAGACGAGCTCAGCCCCAAGACACACACGCAGAAGCCTGGGGTTTTCTTCGGCCTCAAAATGTTCACCTCCACCACGCTGCTTGCTAAGGTTGGGCAAGTCACAGAATCCATTCAAAATTTGAAGGAGGCCATCAACCTTGACACGGTGACGAGCTAAGAGCGTGGTTCATAAGGTCATGAACATTCGTGAATGCCAGATTCTTTTCTTGCCACCGAGCGAATGCGGCCGAGACCAGCGCCGACGCTCACAACCACCTCGGCTTGTCTCACATCCAGGAGCAGAACTTCGTCCGGTACTGAGGGCCAGTGTGTTGATGTGAATCAGTCGACCGACATGCCCGACACGATTCTCATCTAAGGAAGAAGCGCGAAAGTGCTTTGCGAATGCCGTTGAAATAGATACCTGCACCAGGCGGCCGGGCGAAAGCAGAGCCATTGAATGCCTTTTCCTGTCTTTGGTGCGGTGGTGGGTCAGCGGAAGAGCCAATATCGTTGCGTGAAGGCGCGAAGGTACACTAGGCCACGAAGGTGCCTTGCCAGGCTTTTTCACGGAAAGAGAAGGTGCGAGAGTGGAGCCATCAGAGCCCGGTTTGTTCGGTTCAGGGTCGAGGTCACTTCGACCGCGGGTCGAATCCATCAGATTCTCAGCATTGAGCACTTCCATGTTTTGTGTTTTCCTGCCGGTGCAGGTATTTGAACAACCGTGGTCTGGCAAGCTATCACTTGGAAGAGCTCGGCCCCCAAAAGCCGCTTCAGGTCCGGTGTTGAGACAGCATGGTAGCCTTTGAGGTACGCCGATGCGGCCGCT